ATTACTGCCGCATAGCTAAACTACCTAACCACAATAAAATAAAGGAATAACACAGTGGGTTTTATTCAGCGAATCATTGTAAAAGGACTGACTTACTGAAAAGAATGTAGTGGATCATTAACATAGACGAGAACATCAGTTGCATAGCCCGGATAGCGGTATAGCACTAAGTGAATGCGAACTTCGTCGTAAGAGCGTTCACAATATTTGGACACAGTCTGAGTACCGGCTACTCTAACTGTAAGTGGATCAGTGGAGGAACTATAAGAAAAAACGTATAATATAATAATATCAGGCATAAATTCTTAAAATAGATAACAATGCATTAGGGCACAGAAACAAAGATTATTGAAATAAAAGTTTATCCAACTAGTCCTAATATGTTTATACAAAGGGCTTAAACTATTTTGTCTGTTCACTATACAATAACTTCAATATATAAACGAAGGAGAAACCACTTATCCTCAATGGAGAATGAGTCCGCCCAGTTGTGAGAACAAATAGGAGAGACTCAAAACATCTCAGACGTCAGATACCGAAGCATAGGGAAGGAAAATCAAAAGGCCTTATATGAAATCACTTACTGTAAGCATTCCTTAATTAAGGAGTGTAATAATTGGTCAAAGTATAAAAATGCGGTACGAAAATAAGGTTAAGAAAGATGTAGACCCTAATATTCTATTGGTAGCTTACATAAGCTTTACTGAGTCGCTTATGGAAACAAAGTCTGTCTGTAATTGCCATATGACCTTAAGGCTAAATAAAGAAGGCTATAGAAAAAATAGTTTATTTTATTATTAAATTAGTACTTTAGAGGGCTAAAAGGATAACCAAATTCAAGCATTAAAAAGCATGACGCCAAAACGTTAAAAAATACATATCGTAGTTATGAAGACCAAGATGATATGGCCTTAGGTTTGGTTGCAGCCTCACATACTTTTGGTCTGACCTCGTTTTCGCAACTTGGTTGGAGCCACAGAAAGACTTCGTGGAATGTACTGAGTCCTGAGTCCTT